AAAAAATCATTTTTCATTTTTTATGACAGCCACACGTTATCCTTGCATATCGTGGCTACTTCCTTAAAAAAGACACTTCAAAAAAAAGTTGCCTCGACTAGGATTTGAACCTTAGGCCTCTCACAGCCTAAACGAGCGCGCTACCTCTGCACCACGGTGAAGTAATACGTATGCAGCTTGAATAAAAACAAATACATTGTAATTCTAAATTAAGAATTTCCATTTCGTGTTTGTAATCCTTATTAATTTCGAGGTATTTTGTTGACGATAAACCTGTTGTTTAACACTGATGAAAATAATTTAGCGAAAATCTTCTCGCCAAAAGAGTCCGACATGTATATATTCCACTACCCCCCGACAGTCAGATTTATTTGTGTACTACGCTCTGGAGTATTCGGTAATCGACATAGCTAAAAATAGCATTTTCATTGATTAAGCTTTACGGAAATAGCCGAACATTTTTCATTGGGTAAAAAAGATATTTATCCGCGAAATTTGTGATTGTAACCTCATATTTCTATTGACTAATCTAAACTTTTAATGCACTGTAATTCGTTAAATGCCTACATTAAAAATTATTCTTTCTTTTAAACTGCTGCTTTTACGCAGTTTTGAGTGAGAACTACTTTGCGTTGTTAGGTCTGTTAGGAAATTTTGTGTTAGACCGTGGGTGTTAGCTTTGTATTTACTGATCTTGCGATCAGAAAATACAAAAACCGTTCATGAACCCCTTAAACAGTTTTTCTAAAACTTAAATATTTTACAAGAAACATTTTTCGTTTTATCACAGTTTGATTTCTTCAGAAAATGTTAAATAATTGTAATTTTCTCACAGCATTCTTGACTGTAAAAATGTAATTTGTTTAATGCTTATGCGTATTGTAACAATCTTACACCGTATTGTTACAATCTTACACCGTATTGTAACAATCTTACACCGTATTGTAACAATCTTACACTGGTATCTTAGTTGCATAAAGACCTAAACTCACATACCAACTGTCAAGAATTTTTGATTAAGTTCTTTTTCACCTTTTGCAACAGATAGCAAATTATTTATATATTTATATTGTCATATATATGTTATATTAATATCTGTTATATTGTCATATATGACATGTTTTTGTCCTGATTAAAATGTTGATTTTACATGTTATAATATTTTACAATGTTGTCATTTTTGCTATGTTTTCTAAGACAAAAGTTCGAGACGCGAATATTCTCCGCGCAATTTTTACGTGAAGGTACATAGTAGCTTTGGGAGAGAAAAAACACACAAAAATGAATAAAAATCATATGAAATGTAACGTTCATACATTGCAAACGAGTACATATTGACTTTTAACCCACATGTTTTTATAAATCCACTCCCTTGCTAGTGAAAATCCTTTGTTGTTAAATGGATACAACACCAAACTTGTTTGACTTTCTCATACCGACTCCCATAAAAATGGCGTGAGATATCGAGCAAGAAAATCTTTATGACTTTTATAAATGGGTAGTATAAATGACTTTGCCTCACCCTTGAGGCTGATATTTAAAGATTCCTTTAGAGCCAAATATTTTCAAAGATAAGATCATTCCAAGATAAGATTCAAAGGAGAAACCGTCTATACAATTTTCAAACAACTTGCAATTAACACTACGAATCGGTTTATCGCGATTTTTAAATTGTTTCGCGAAACTTTAACTATCATATTTGTATTATGATTGAATTATTGTTGTTTTAAAATCAAAGGACCATTATCTTGATAGATAAAAAATGCATTTTGCGTATATTAAGTTTTAATATCTAAGATATTGTAAAATGGTAAAGTGATAAATAATTTGAAACCTTGTAGATTGTGGTAATATACTTTATATCAAATGACGTAGTTTCACTCGGTTTAGATTTATCAATATCGATTATAGATTTAAGTGGTTATAATTTATTCTGATAGAGTACAAACTTCTAGACATTTGACACAAGTGGGACACATTTTACAAAGATGAGCACAATACGAATATTAAATCAAAGGGCTGCATGCTCTGTGATATTTTCTGATCTGTCCTGTATAAGTTTATTTTTATATACTATTATTCATCTTACGCAGCGACTGCGTTTAACAGTTTGTGATTGATACATATGGAATTTTGCATGCCTAGAGGTGCATCAAAAATCATTTTTCATTTTTTATTACAGCCACACTTTATCCTTGCATATCGTGGCTACTTCCTTAAAAAAAAAACACTTCAAAAAAATGTTGCCTCGACAAGGATTTTAACCTTAGGCCTCTCACACCCTAAACGAGCGCGCTACCTCTGCACCACAGTGAAGTAATACGTATGTAGCGTGAATAAAAACAAATATATTGTAATTCTAAAATTGAGAATTTACATTTCGTATTTGTAATCCTTATTAATTTCGAGGTATTTTGTTCACGATAAACCTGTTGTTAAACACTGATGAAAATAATTTAGCGAAAATCTTCTCGCCAAAACAGTCCGACATGTATATATTCCATTACTCGACAGTCAGATTTATTTGTGTACTACGCTCTGGAGTATTCGGTAATCGACATAGTTAAAAAAAAGCATTTTCATTGATTAAGCTTTACGGAAATAGCCGAACATTTTTCATTGGGTAAAAAAGATATTCATCCGCGAAATTTGTGATTGTAACCTCATATTTCTATTGACTAATTCTTTAAATGCACTGTAATTCGTTTAATGCCTACATCAAAAATAATTCTTTCTTTTAAATTGCTGGTTTTTAAGCAGTTTTGAGTGAGAACTACTTTGCGTTGTTAGGTCTGTGAGGAAATTTTGTGTTAGACCGTGGATGTTAGCTATGTATTTACTGATCTTGCGATCAGAAAATACAAAAATGTAGAGAAAATTAATATTATTCACCTTTTTGCATTAAAACACAAACAAACAATACGAATTTACCAATACGAACCCGATACGAATCTATCCATAGCATGTAATAAAGAAGGTTATTATTATTATTCACATTTTTTTGCATTAAAAACACAAACAAACAAACAAACAAACAAACAAATAAATACTGTTACAGTTTACAAACACATAATTCAAGTCAACAGAGGCCCAGAGATATCAACGAGGACTGCGCATCATATTCTCTTTAATTCAGCTGCTAGGATATCACGTGAATTAATCTGGCAGGTCGATACCATAGGTCAAAGTACATTCTTTTTGTAGTCGATGAAAAACAACAACAACAAAAATAACCAAAACAAGAAGTATCTTTGAAAAAGATACTCGGCCGAATTAAAACTGATTATTTGCATATCGTATCTTAGAAAACATGGAAAAAGAATCATAAAAAATATGATGTTGAGCCTAGTATTGAATTTTACGTTTAAATTTTTGAAATACTAAAATCATGTGCATATTTTGGCAAATACAAAGTATTTTAATAGAAATAAAATCTTAAGTCTGAAGTAAATCCTTTAAAAGCAAAGAAGTAAATAAGAACTACAAACAAAACAATTTATTTCGTACTCAATTTTTTCGTACTCAGTTCATTTTTACCGTCATGAAATTCTTTACTTTCTATAATTGTGAATGTCGATTTAGCTCAAAGAAAAACATTTAAGTTATCGAAGTGTAATGCAATCGAAATTTGAATTGAAAGTTTATAAATGAAAACGTTTTGTTGATACGAAATACCAGAATCAACGGATTTGCAACACGTTTGGAAATAACGAAAGAAACCTAACCTAAAAAGAACCGAAAGATAGCCTTCTTTTCTAAAATACTCTGGCAAACATTTATTATAAACAAACCATTCAATCGTTAGGGGTTGAATAAATACTTCATAAATATGTAAAATACATAAAAATTTTCATCTTTGTATATAAGTTCGTTTTCTTGTGTGCTTTTCGGTTTTTTCATGCACATGAGTAAACGGGAAAGTGGACGAAGTTGAAAGTGGTGTTTTTTCACTAATATTTGACAAAATCTATAACTCGATCGTTAAAAAAGCGATAAATAATCTGTAGGATACATGACAATATAGAATCTATAATGTGTAAGAAAAGGCATGGTTAAACTGAACTTAACTATCTGAAATTTAAAGATGTACTTAGGTCATCCTTGAGTAAAATATTATAATCCCAGAAATTTATTGAAACCAATAAAAAAATTATTGAATTTGTCTAATTTGAATAAAAGAATTAATAAACTATGTTTTCTAATACGACAAGTCAAGTTGGTCCTTTCTTAAAAAAAAACTGCCAGTTTTTTAATGACTCTATATATTAATATTGTGCCCACCTATAGTGTTTAAACATGACACATCCACTTTGTGCGAGTCAGAACGTGTTTATTTTATATATACAATGATACTTTGTAGCAATATTATAAAAAATCTTATATAAACTTTAAGCATAGTGATAGTCAAAGAGCTTATGAATGTAGATATTTCGTTTCCAGACTGCGCTAAAAATCGAGTCGGTTAGAGTGGTCTCATCTGAAAACATTGCAAATGGAGTAAGGGTTCAAAAGGGAGGTGAATGTTGTGCTTAAAAAGTACATTAGATTGACCTCCCCTGAAAACATTGAAACAAGAGTAATGGGTTCAAAAGGAAGGTTAATGTTGCATTCGTTAAAAAAAGTGTTAGAATGACCTCACCTGCAAACATTGCAAATGGAGTAAGGGTTCAAAAGGGAGGTTACTGTTGCATTCGTTAAAAAAGAGAGTGTTAGAATGACCTCCCCTGAAAACATTGCAAATGGTGAGGGTTCAAAGGGAGGTTACTGTTGCACTACAAAAGAGTCGATTAGTGTGACCTCCCCTTATAACATTGCAAATGGCGTAATGGTTCAAAAGGGAGGTATCTGTTGTGTTAAAAAAGAGTCGGTTAGAGTTACCTCCTTTAATAACATTGCAAATGACTTAAGGGTCCTAAAGGGATGTAACTGTTGCGTTCGTTAAAAAAAGAGTTTGTTAGAATGACCTCCCCTGAAAACATTGCAAATGGTGTGAAGGTTCAAAGGGAGGTAACTGTTACACATAAAAAAGAGTCGATTAGAGTAACTTCTCCTGATAACATTGCAAATGGCGTAAGGTTTCTAATGGGAGGTTACTGTTGCGTTCGTTTAAAAACAGAGTTTGTTAGAATGATTTCCCCTGAAAACATTGCAAATGGTGTGAAGGTTCAAAGGGAGGTAACTGTTGCACTAAAAAGAGTCGATTAGAGTGACCTCCCCTGAAAACATTGCAAATGGGGTTATGGTTCAAAAAGGGAGGTTACTGCTGCGTTCGTTTAAAAAAGAGTTGGTTACCTCCCCTGAAAACATTGCAAATGGCGTAAGGGTTCAAAAGGGAGGTAACTGTTGCGCAAAAAAATGGTTGTTTAGAGTGACCTCCTCTGATGTCATTGCAAATGGCGTAATGAATAAAAGGGAGATAACTGTTGCACTAAAAAAAGAGTTGATTAGAGTGACCTCCCCTGATAACATTGCAAATGCTGTAAGAGTTCAAAAGAACTTTGCAGGATTTGCATGTAAAAAGTTTTAAGAACGTTTTTCTCTGTATTTAGTCTTTTGAAGCTCCTCCTAAATAAGATTTTATTTCTCAACTCCTAATAATATTTTATTTCTCCTACTTAGGATTTTAAAATCTGGACCAAAACGCCTTTGTTAACGTTGTCATTATATTAGAGATTTTCGACCATGCGACCACATACATGCATCGAGGACATGTTTGAAAGAAAGTGACCGTGCGACCACATACACGCATCACAAGATTCCCCTTCTCTTACGAGAAAGGGACAAAGAGTTGTCCGCCCTTTTATTAAAGGGCAGACTTAAAAATATGCCATTACCTTATTTTATTGATAAGGAGGCTAATTTTCACAGATATGTCTTGAATTGGTTTATATACAACAATAGTTATGCAAACCAAGCGGGCTATTAGGATACGTCTTTTTAAGTCCGCTATGAAATTTAAAAAAGATAATATATAACTTTTAGGAAAATTTTGAGTTTAAAGTTTTTTTCAACTTTTCATTCTATATATATAACAGAATTATTTTAATTTTGCAAAACATAAACGTTTCAAAAACGTTCTATATGCATTAAATATTGGAGATATATTTCACACGTTGTTTTCAAATATTAACCTGGGGGCATTTTTGCTAAGGTACTGTCTCAGGAGAATAACTTGAGCCTATGTTTACATAAAAATTAATAACAATGCGAAAAAATAGGTAAAGCAGACTGTTGCCTAATAAATGAAAAACACAAAGTAAAACGTCATATTTTCATGTGCCTTGATAGCGCAAAAAGGCAGAGCGTCTTTGTCAGTGTCGTTTCGTGTATTTAGATACTCGTACCATAACGTTTGAGAGTTTTATGTTTTGACCAGTTTTGTTTCAGATGCATGAGATAGAATATTTTTGTACACAGGTTGATATGCAGTTATGTTAAGTTTTGGGGAAAACGACAAAACATTCAGGAAAAGTTTTTAACCCGGGAAATTTAATGAAAGGGAAAGTGCTTTATATTTTTGATCCATTTTTCAAATTTTAATTTCCAAATTTCCGCTGTGTTTTAAAAATTTGTTTTTTTTTTAAATGTAACATCCCTTTTTTTTAAAAAAAAAAATAAACTAGAAATGCAGTTGGGTTTTTTTTTTAAAAAAGTGGAAAAAAAAATTAAAAATTTAAAAAAAAAAATTTTAAAATTTAGAAGTAAAAATTAAAAAAACCCAAAAGGGCTTTTATATTCAAAAGATGAGAAAAGGACAGCACAGTGAAAAAGGGAAGAACGGAAAAAAAAAAAGGGTTTGGGCCCTTTTTGGGGCCCTTTCTTCAATAGATTTTAAAAAAGGAAAAAAAGATAAAAAATTTTACTAAATATATGAGCCGCGTCACGACAAAACCAACATAGTGCGTTTGCGACCAGCATCCGCGCAGTCTGATCAGGATCCATGCTGTTCGCTTACCAACCCTTATACAAGTAGAGAAACTGATAGCGAACAGCATGGATCCTGATCAGACTGCGCGGATGCGCAGGCTGGTCTGGATCCATGCTGGTCGCAAACGCACTATGTTGGTTTTGTCGTGACGAGGCTCATATATAGATTCATTATAAGACACAGTCACTTGTACAACTGAAATATTTGGTTTGCTACAACTATTTGTGAGTATTTATTTTGTGTTTGAAGGTTAGTATGGTTTAATTTTATTAACCTGTCAATTGCATACTGATTACACGATCAATGCACCTACGGTATATGTTCGGTAAATTTTGTGAGATGTATGCAGTAACATTTGATTAAATTTTATTTGTTTCTATGAAAATGTTATACTGACCGTTATAGCGCAATAGGGCAAACTTCTGAGAACCCCACGTATTGTTAGATGAGACCGCGTATGTCCATGTTTTTTTTCTTACTTATATTTTCAACATTGCTTTTTTAAGTTGTTCTTTTTTAGAAATATTTTTTGAACTTATTTTGGCAAAGACCATACACTTTTTAGATAGCATGGTTTAAGAATAAAATTAAAATCAATAAATGTCATATCAATGCCATAAAATTCAACACAGAACAGACAAATCAGTGTTTTTATTTAAAATAGTTTGACAAACATTTATTATAAACAAACAATTCATTTGTTAGCCGTTAAATAGATACTTCATGAATATGTAAAATATATGAAAATTGTAAACTTTGTATATAACTGATAATACCAGATAAGTTCGTTTTGTAGTGTGCTTTTCGCTCTTTTCATGCACATGAGTAAACGGGAAAGTGGACGTTCTTGGAGGTTTCATTTATGTTTGACAAAATTTATAACTCTTTAAAACAGCGTAAAATAATCTGCAGGATGTATGGCAATATAGAACTTATAATGTGTAGGAGAAGGCATGGTTACATAGAACTTAAGTATCTTAAATTTAACTTGATACTAAAAGAACTTATGAAAGTAGATAGTAGACGCGTATACCATGTCAGAAAAAAATCCTTTATTTCATTTTACTAATTTGACAATAGTAAATCAGATTCCGAGATTTCAGATTGTTATTTTAAGATAATCAATAAATTTTTTACATAAATTCAGTTCTTCCCTGTAAATTTAACAGGAAGACAAACTGAAAACAGACCGGTCTACGACCGAAAAAAAGACCAACAACACCCCCACACCAACAGTTTGACCCTTTCAAAGGGCTGTATATACGTCAATCGTTCCTCATACAAGAATATCATCATGCGAGCTAACTGTCTACAATCTGATAAACAAACTATCATTTCGACATTTAAATAATTATTTGTTCCCCTTCAAAATAGAACATGTACGTTTTTCACGCACGACGTCGTGTTTTGCATCGCAGAATGTAAAGTAAATCATGACGTCGTAAAGTGGGAGATTTTAAGGGTAACACCGGTATTGCAATTAATCTAGGAAAGTACGGATATCAGTCGCCATACGATGAATATCATTCACCGTTTTATTTTCTACATTTCTTGTAGTAGACAATAAAAAATAGCGCTGGAACAATGATAGATACGGAAATAGATAAATCAGACAATAAATCACGCGTTATATCGAGATTTACACGTGATGAATGTTCAGGATAAGATTTGAAAAAGACACATAACATGAGATAGATTGCCGCTATAAGAAAAGAAGAAATGAATCTGTCCCGCCATATTTAATGTGTTCTTGAGCTAAAATGAGATAAACTATATGTGGTAAACATTTTTCGAGTTCATGTAAATAATTATCATCTAAAAAATAGAACTTAAGTATCAATATGGAACTTGACGAAAAAATAAAAGTTCACATATACACGCAATGACAAAAGTGTTCTTTCAGTGAGATTTAAAACGTACATGACCTTTAGTAGCTGATTTATGATTCAGTCAATTGTCAGTATGATATCTGTCTGTTGTCTGTATAAAGTCAGTTCATTGTTAGTATAATGTTCGTTTGTTGTCAGTATAATGTTCGTATGTTGTCAGTATAATGTCAGTCCATTGTCAGTATAATGTTTGTCTGTTGTCAGTATAATGTCAGTCCATTGTCAGTATAATGTTCGTCTGTTGTCAGTATTATGTTCGTATGTTGTCAGTATAATGTCAGTTTATTGTCAGTATAATGTTTGTCTGTTGTCAGTATAATGTCAGTCGATTGTCAGTATAATGTTTGTCTGTTGTCAGTATAATGTCAGTCTATTGTCCGTATAATGTTTGTCTGTTGTCAGTATAATGTCAGTCCATTGTCAGTATAATGTTTGTCTGTTGTCAGTATAATGTCAGTCCATTGTCAGTATAATGTTTGTCTGTTGGCAGTATAATTTTAGTCCATTGTCCGTATAATGTTTGTATGTTGTCAGTATAAATGTTCGTCTGTTTTGTCAGCATAATTTTCGTCTGTTGTCAGTATTAATGTTCGTCTGTTGTCAGTATAAAGTCAGTTCATTGTCAGTATAATGTTCGTCTGTTGTCAGTATAAAGTCAGTTCATTGTCAGTATAATGTCAGTATAATGTCAGTCTGTTGTCAGTATAATGTTCGTCTGTTGTCAGTATAATGTTCGTCTGTTGTCAGTATAATGTTCGTCTGTTGTCAGTATAGTATCAATCTGTTGTCAGTATAATGTTCGTCTGTTGTCAGTATAATGTTCGTCTGTTGTCAGTATAATGTCAGTTCATTGTCAGTATAATGTTCGTCTGTTGTCAGTATAATGTTCGTCTTTTGTCAGTATAAAGTCAGTTCATTGTCCGTATAATGTTCGTCTGTTGTCAGTATAAAGTCAGTTCATTGTAAGTATAATGTTCGTCTGTTGTCAGTATAAAGTCAGTTCATTGTCCGTATAATGTTCGTCTGTTGTCAGTATAATGTTTGTCTGTTGTCAGTATAATGTCAGTCTTTTGTCCGTATAATGTTTCTGTCTGTTGTCAGTATAATGTTCGTCTGTTGTCAGTATAATGTTTGTCTGTTGTCAGTATAATGTTTGTCTGTTGTCAGTATAATGTTTGCCTGTTGTCCGTATAATGTTCGTCTGTTGTCAGTATAATGTCGTCCATTGTCAGTATAATGTTTGTCTGTTGTCAGTATAATGTTCGTATGTCAGTCAGTATAATGTCAGTCTGTTTGTCAGTATAATGTTTGTCTGTTGTCAGTATAATGTCAGTCCATTGTCCGTATAATGTTCGTCTGTTGTCAGTATAATGTCAGTCCATTGTCAGTATAATGTTCGTCTGTTGTCAGTATAATGTTTGTCTGTTGTCAGTATAATGTCAGTCTGTTGTCAGTATAATGTTCGTCTGTTGTCAGTATAATGTTCGTCTGTTGTCAGTATAATGTTTGTCTGTTGTCAGTATAATGTTTGTCTGTTGTCAGTATAATGTTCGTCTGTTGTCAGTATAATGTTCGTCTGTTGTCAGTTCAAAATCAGTACATTGTCAGTATAGTATCAATCTATTGGCAGTATAATGTTTGTCTGTTGTCAGCCTGCTGTTAAGGTTAAAGCTACAATAAGCCTTAGAAACGAATAAATCTTTCCTTAATTAGAAATGATGATATGAGTTTTATAAACATTAAATAATGGTTTTTTATCTTAAATTACTTGTCATTAAAGTAGCAAAATGTAAACAAAGTAGTGTTTTGACTTCCATACAAAATACTAAATCACTGTAAATGTTCTAATTGCAAAAAAAAAAAAAAAAAAAAAAAAAAAAAAAAGAAGCAAAAGATGGTTAAGATAATTTTCCGATAAGTAAGCTTTTGAAATATAAGAATGAAAGCATTTCGGGCATAACTGGCCTTTAAAACTGGACACTGTTTTATATATCATATTGACAATCAATGTACAATGTATCTATTTATATACACCCATTC